GGAAATAATAAAATAATAAAAAGAAAACATAATAAAATATTATTATGTTTTTTATTAAAAATAATAAAATAATAAAAAGAACACATAATAAAATAATAAAAATAAAACGTAATTAAATTTCGATTTAAAGCTTTCGTGACTGCAGGGATTCATCTCTTGGTTCTTTCGGTAAAGTCACGTAGAAGGGAAGTAATAAAATAATAAATAAAACATAATAAAATACAATTCTGTCGCCTCGGCAGACCTGGTTTTCACCTGAGGACGGCTGCTTGCGTTGTGGCCGAAACGTCGTGAGAATTGTTTTATTATGTTTTATTTTTATTATTTTTATATTTCCCTTCTACGTGACTTTACCGATAGAACCAAGAAGATGAATCCCTGCAGTCACGAAAGCTTTAAATCGAAAAGAAAATGGCATTGCAAGTGGTTCACATTGGGCAGCCATTTTTGTTTGAGGTCACGTGACGTCTGTGAAGGCTGTCCGAGTGAGAGGTTGTAGCCCCGACGTTCCAGACACGTTCAGGTGCTGGGCTCGCTGACAGCACTTGCCCCGAGAGTCTGTTGAGGCTATACGGGGCGCCTTTGTCTTTGTGTGTGCGTGTGTGTGTACGTGTGTGTATGTGTGGGTGTGTATGTGTGTGTTTATGTGTCCGGCAAAACAACCTCCTACCTCCTCGCGGTGCCGGACGGGCAACACTGTCGTGGGCAGTGCTGTGGGGGGAGGGCCAATGCCCATTGGCCTCTCCCCTCATGGCGTCTGTGACCACCACAGTGGCTAAACGGGGGCTCTGGACGGGTGAGAGGGGCTGGTAACCCCTCCACCTTCAATTCATTACCACTAAACCACGAATTAAACATGAGCTGGACCCGGTACCGCCTGGATCTCTGTGGCATTCAGGAGGTCCGGTGGACCGGTTCTGGCTCCTGCCACCATGAGGGGTGGACAGTCCTCTACTCGGGGCAGGAGACTGCCAAACAACAGGGTGTGGCTCTTCTTCTGAACAAAAGAATGAAGGGGGCGTGGGAGCGTGGCGGTGAGGTGTGGGAAGCTGTAAGCCCCAGGATACTTTGGGCTCGCCTTCCCATCAACCAGAGGCGAGGAGTGGTGGTCGTGGTTACTTATGCCCCCACCGAAGACGAACATCCGTGGAGGGATGCAAGCAAAGCCGATGAGTCAGACGCTTTCTATGACCTCCTGTCACAGGTGCTGGCTAAAGTGGCCACTCGGGACAGAGTCATCTTGTTGGGTGACTTCAATGCCCGAGTTGGTCATGATGCTGACACCTGGTCTGGAGTGATTGGAAGGCATGGGCCAGATCAGCTCAATAATAACGGTAGGAGGCTGCTAGATTTTTGTGCAGCCCATGGGCTTGTAATTACCAACACGCTCTTCCGGCATCGGCGCATCCACACAACATCATGGATACATGCCGGGTCCAAGCAAGAACATCTGCTGGACTACATAGTGACGGACCAGCGGATGCGAACCCATGTCCTTGACACCAGGACCTACCGTGGAGCTGATCTGTCCTCTGACCATCGACTAGTCATCTGTAAGATGCGCCTGCCTTTCTTCCACTCCGGTGGTGGGTGTACACCCAGGATCCCATTCCAACCAAAAGTGGCCTGGTCTCAGTTAGCTGATGAAAGTTGCAAGCGAGAATTTCATCATCGCTTGCAGCTGGGGTTGGCATCGTCCCCCACTCCACCTGATGTCGAGGGTAAATGGGCGAGGTTTAGACTGTGACTCATGCAGCTGCAATGGCTGCTTTGGGTACGCGGTCCAGACCTCCCCAGAAACCCTGGCTGACAGAGGAGGTGTTCAGGTTAATTGAGAAAAAGCGACAGGCCCACTCTCATCGCCTACAGCATCCCACGTCAGAGAATGAGGAGGTTTACCGCAGCCTTCGCTCGGAAGTTCGGAGAGCCGTAAGGCGTTGTAAGGATGGGTGGTGGTCGCGGGTTGCTGAGGAGATGGAGTCTGCCTCAGTGGCCCGTGATCACAAATCACTATTTAACTCCATCAAAAAAGTAACCTGCAGCGCCACACCTATTACCATCATTAGAGGAAAAAACGGTGATCCAATCTCCGACCCCCAGGAACAGGTTTGCAGATTTGCTGAGCATTTCTGTGAGGTCCTGGGGGAGGGAAATTCTCTCAGCCAGGAAAACATCATGGCACAAAGTGGGGATAACCCTGCTGAGGCTGCGGTGCCTCAAATATTGGAAGAGGTCACCCCCTGTGAGTGGCTGGCTGAGGTTCCAGCTGTTGAGGAAGTACTGAGGGCGATCCGGAGTCTGAGACCAGGGAAGGCACCGGGCAGAGATGATCTCCCAAGCGAAATGCTGAGGGAGGGGCGTTTGTGCACAGACTGCCCTATATGACATCATAACAACAGTCTGGACCACTGGACGGGTTCCGCAGGACTGGAAGGATGCCCTGGTGGTCCCCCTCTTTAAGAAGGGGGACCGCACAGACTGTAGACAACTACAGGGGCATCTCACTCCTCAGTGTGCCGGGTAAGGTCCTGGCAAGGATTATTCAACATCGCCTGGGCTAGGCACGCTGAGAGGGGCTTGCGGAGCCCTCAATGCGGTTTCAGAAAGGGCGGGTCCTGCCCGATGCCCATATTTCTGTCCGTCTGCTACAGCAGAGGTGTAGGGAATTCCAAAAAGATCCTACATCTCTGCTTTATTGACCTGGTCAAGGCCTATGATACCATCAGTAGGACTGGACTCTGGTTGTTCTTTTCGTGCTTTTCGGATCCGGACCCGACTCTGCTCACGATCATTAGAGGACCTTCATGATGGTGAGCGGGCCCGGTTAAACTACGTGGCCGGGAGTCGAGCCTTTCCCTGTACACCTTGGGTGTGCGACAGGGATGTCCTCTGGCTCCCACATTATTTAACACTATTTTGACCGCGTAGTTCGTGAAGCCTTCAATAGCTGTACCGGGGGAATTTCCGTTTGGTACAGATATAATGGGAGGCTGATCGACGCCCGGGTGCGATCAAGGGATGGCTCCCTATTGGTCAACCACGTTATGTATGCCGATGATTTGGTAATAGCTGCTCATTCAGAAGAGGAGTTGGAGGCGCTGCTGCTGAGACTGGAGCGTGCCACTAAGAGGTGGGGCCTTACCATCAGCCCCACCAAACCAAGCACCTGCCTGGGTATTTTGTACCATCGGACACTCCACCCCCACAACTCCCAATTGGTGATGGGGCAGTTGTGGAGAGAGTGGAGAGTTTCCCATACCTGGGCAGTGTGCTTATGACCGGCTCCAGTCTATCAGCAGAGGTCTCACTCCGAATCAGTCGAGCGGCAATATCTTTCATCGGTTGCGTAACGCTGTGGTGGAAGCTACCTGGTCTGTCGCTCCGCACGAAGCTTCAGGTCTTCTCGGCCACGGTCATTCCCTCCCTTCTCTACGCTTGCGAGACGTGGACCCCCCTGGTGGAGCATCTTCGCCGGTTGGAAACATTTAGGCTGGCCTGCCTACGATCCATCCTGGGTTTAACCAGGCTGGATGTGTGAGGAGCTCACAAATCCTTGAAAGATCTGGGCAAAGTCCCATCAGTGATCTCCTCCGGCAGGCAAGGCTGCGTTTGGCTGGGGTCATGTAGCCCGCATGCCCAGCCACCGCATGCCTAAACAGCTTTTGTTCGGCCGGATCGAGGGGGCTAGACGGGCGCGGCACGGGCTGGAGAAGAGATGGAGTGATGTGGTACAGGAGGACGTGGAGCTGAGTGGACTTGCCGATGACTGGTACCAGCGGTGTCAAGATCGGCCTCAGTGGAGGAGGCTCGTGAAGGACGCTACTGGGCAGTTGGAGGCAGTCGCCCTCCAACAACAACGGAGGGCGGAGGAGCGACGCTCACAACAACGAGCGGAGCGCCGGGTGGCTAAAGCACAGCAAGTTGGCACAGTAGGGGGCACAGGTGGTGCATCAGCCAGTCATCTCGGTCATCTCGGTCAGTCGACCAGTGGCACCTGGGTCTGCCCCGTGACCTCCTGCCAGCGGGCTTTCGACACTTCACGTGGCCTCAAGGTGCACTTGGCCTGGCACAAGCATCGTGGTGACGTCACCGCCACTTAGTGGCGAATGGCGGTTGTTGTTGTTGTTGTTGTTTATGTGTGTGCATGTGTGTGTATGTGTGTGTGTGCATGTGTGTACGTGTGTGTGTGTACGTGTGTGTATGTGTGTGTATGTGTGGGTGTGTGTATGTGTGTGTATGTGCATGCACATAGCCTGGCACAAGCGTCGTGGTGACGTCACCGTCACTTAGTGGCGAGTGTCCGTTGTTGTTGTGTACTGTGTGTGTGTGTACGTGTGTGCTTATGTGTGTATGTGTGTGCTTATGTGTGTGTGTTTATGTGTGTATGTATGTGTGTATGTGTGTGTATGTGGGTGTATGTGTGGGTGTGTATGTATGCACATAGCCTGGCACAAGCGTCGTGGTGACGTCACCGCCACTTAGTGGCGAATGGCGGTTGTTGTTGTATCTGTCTATGTGTGTGTATGTGTGTGCTTATGTGTGTGTATGTACGTGTGTGTGTGTACGTGTGTGTATGTGTGTGTATGTGTGTGCTTATGTGTGTGTATGTACGTGTGTGTGTACGTGTGTGTATGTGTGTGTATGTGTGTGCTATGTGTGTGTATGTACGTGTGTGTGTACGTGTGTGTATGTGTGTGTATGTGTGTGCTTATGTGTGTGTATGTATGTACGTGTGTGTGTACGTGTGTGTATGTGTGTGTATGTGTGTGCTTATGTTGTGTGTATGTATGTACGTGTGTGTGTACGTGTGTGTATGTGTGTGTATGGGTGTGTATGTGTGTGTATGTGCATGCACATAGCCTGGCACAAGCGCCGTGGTGACGTCACCGCCACTTAGTGGCGAGTGGCGGTTGTTGTTGTTGTGTACATATGTGTGTGTACGTGTGTACATGTGTGTGTACGTGTGTGTATACGTGTGTATGTGTGTGTATGTGGGTATGTGTGTGTACGTGTGTGTATATGTGTGTATGTGACAGTGTGTATGCGTGTGTGTACGTGTGCGTGTATGTGTGTATGTATGTGTGTGTACATGTGCGTGTATGTATGTAATGGGGAGCGGTGGGTGTCGTGGTTAGCGCTACGCTGCGCTACAAACCCAACCACCCGAGTTCCATTCCCGCTCACGGCCAACACCATATCAGCGACGATTATCTAAACCGGTCCTGGGCCTCTCCTAGGTCGACTTAGGCCTCAAATGAGCACCTGGTAGCGATGTGTGCAAAACATCGCTACTAGCGAGACAAAGGCGGCCGGGACTGTAACAGCGAGGCTGTGCCGTGCCAAACGTGGCCGGGTCAAACGGCAGTGTCAAGGGGCGTATTCTTAGGTGTTTTCGGTAAAGTCACGTAGGTAAAACATCAAAATTAATAAAAAATAAAAAGAATAAAATTATAATAAAATTAATAAAAATAATAAAATAAAATAAAGATCACGACGTTTCGGAGGCCTCCGAAACGTCGTGATCTTTATTTTATTTTATTATTTTTATTAATTTTGATGTTTTACCTGCGTGACTTTACCGAAAACACCTAAGAATATGATTCCTTGCAGTCACGAAAGCTTCAAGTCTAGAATCAAGGGGCGTAGTGTGTGATGTGGAATTGATGGTCATGGGGACAGCATTTTGAATGCTCCCGTTGCTTTCCTTCGTGTGGTTTACGGAAGGCCGTATCGCTTTCACGGAAAGGCCAACAACACGATGGATGATTTTTTGTCTTTCTCAATTAGATAATTGTTTTTTTTTACCCTTCTATCTGGCAACAAAACTGAAACTGATGGTGCATTGTCTTTAAGTTGTGCGCCTTTTGGCGTCATCTGGTCCAACACCATGTGAGACTAGGCTCTAAGGAAAGCTGTCTCGGTGTGGACCAATCAACTTCAAGGACAGTGCACATACATTATCAGAGTTGTGTTTTTTGTTTGTATTATGACTGCAGGTATTGTGGTCTATGCAAACATGACTTCTTGTAAAAAGGTGTCAGTTTTGTTGCCAGATAGAAGGGTAAAAAAAGCAATGATCATATTTTTACTGGCAAATGAGGTTCCCATAGTGTAGATTTCTCAATTAGAACACGGACTTTTCAGAGGTCACTCACAACAGCTCCACCTCGCGGCAATGTTACGAGCCGCCAATGCCCAGGATCCAGTTCAGATAACAATGGTCAACAAAAAAAAAATTCGGCCTGGACTTTTGCAGCTGTTTTAGACTAATTTCAGGGTGCTGATTCCAAATCTGATCTCAGATTTGCTCTATCACATCTCATTTTTATGCTGTCGGCATACCCCATTTTCATTGATTTTACCCGAAATTAACTCTGTCGCTTATGATTGCAAGTTGTTGCGAGTCAGTGACTGCTTTAGTGTTAAAATACGGTGCTGTATTTTTAGAATAGTGTGTTTAAAATATAATTTTTATGTAGATATTCACGTTTATTTAATATTTTTCTTCCGCAGTTTTTATTGAAAATGCAATATTTGACATCTCAAAAACCTGATGTGATAGACCAAAACTGATGCCAGATTTGGAATCAGCACCCCACAAAATTACCTTCAAATCGTTGGAATACCTTATGCCACAAAAGTGTGTTGACCAGTGTAATCGTCGGCTGGTGTTGGCCGTGAGCGGGAATCGAACTCGGGATCGCCAGGTTCGTAGTAGTGCAGCGTAGCGCTCACCGCTACACTACCGCTCCCCACACACACATACAAAGACAAAGATCCCCCGTATAGCCTTAACAGACTGTAGGGGCAAGTGCTGTTAGCGAGCACCTATGAAGGCTGGTACCAGTCATCGGCAAGTCCACTCAGCTCCACGTCCTCCTGTACCACATCACTCCATCTCTTCTCCAGCCCGTGCTGCGCCCGTTTAGCCCCCTCGATCCGGTCAAACAAAAGCTGTTTAGGCATGCGGTGGCTGGGCATGCGGGCTACATGACCCAGCCAACTCAGCCTTGCCTGCCGGAGGAGCTCACCGATGGGACTTTGACTAGATCTTTCAAGGAGTTGTGAGCTCCTCACACAATCCAGCCTGCAGGTTAAACCCAGGATGGATCGTAGGCAGGCCAGCCTAAATGTTTCCAACCGGCGAAGATGCTCCCCACACACACATACACACACATACATACACACACATACACACACGTACACACGCACACACGTGCAACAAACAGCCTGTTGACGCTCGATCGGGGTGACCTTCGTTGTATAAGCGTCTCACAGCGACTGCACTCGACGATGATGTCGTTCAGGATGACGATGATGATGACATTGATGATGATGATGATGACATTGATGATGATGTTGTTGTTGATGCTGTCTGAGTGAAAAGCGGAGAAAAACACCGCGGCGTGGAACGCGACCTCCCGCATTGCAATCAGAGCCATCCTGGCACAACGATCCGTGCGCGTGACCCCTATGAGCGGGTATCTGCTGATCCTGTGTGTGTACGGGCGCCACAGGTGGGCTATGAGATGTTGACTACCTCGCCTGGTACGCAGGAGGTCGTAGGTTCAATGCCAGACCCTGAGAGATGTTGACTACCTCGCCTGGTACGCAGGAGGTCGTGGGTTCAATCCCAGACACTGAGAGATGTTGACTACCTCGCCTGGTACGCAGGAGGTCGTGGGTTCAATCCCAGACACTGAGAGATGTTGACTACCTCGCCTGGTACGCAGGAGGTCGTAGGTTCAATGCCAGACCCTGAGAGATGTTGACTACCTCGCCTGGTACGCAGGAGGTCGTGGGATCTATCCCAGACACTGAGAGATGTTGACTACCTCGCCTGCTACACAGGAGGTCGTGGGTTCGATCCCAGACACTGAGAGATGTTGACTACCTCGCCTGGTACGCAGGAGGTCGTGGGTTCGATCCCAGACCCTGAGAGATGTTGACTACCTCGCCTGGTACGCAGGTGGTCGTAGGTTCAATCCCAGACCCTGAGAGATGTTGACTACCTCGCCTAGTACACAGGAGGTCGTGGGTTCGATCCCAGACCCCAAGAGATGTTGGCTACCTCGCCTGGTACGCAGGAGGTCGTGGGTTCAATGCCAGACCCTGAGAGATGTTGACTACCTCGCCTGGTTCGCAGGAGGTCGTGGGTTCAATCCCAGACACTGAGAGATGTTGACTACCTCCCCTGGTACGCAGGAGGTCGTGGGTTCAATCCCAGACCCTGAGAGATGTTGACTACCTCGCCTGGTACGTAGGAAGTCGTGGGTTCAATCCCAGACCCTGAGAGATGTTGACTACCTCGCCTGGTACGCAGGAGGTCGTGGGTTCAATCCCAGACCCTGAGAGATGTTGACTACCTCCCCTGGTACGCAGGAGGTCGTGGGTTCAATCCCAGACCCTGAGAGATGTTGACTACCTCGCCTGGTACGTAGGAAGTCGTGGGTTCAATCCCAGACCCTGAGAGATGTTGACTACCTCGCCTGGTACACAGGAGGTCGTGGGTTCAATCCCAGACCCTGAGAGATGTTGACTACCTCGCCTGGTACGTAGGAAGTCGTGGGTTCAATCCCAGACCCTGAGAGATGTTGACTACCTCGCCTGGTACGTAGGAAGTCGTGGGTTCAATCCCAGACCCTGAGAGATGTTGACTACCTCGCCTGGTACACAGGAGGTCGTGGGTTCAATCCCAGACACTGAGAGATGTTGACTACCTCGCCTGGTATACAGGACGTCATGGGTTCGGTCCCGTGATCCTGACGATGCCTGCTGCTGTATATTTGGAGTCTGCGTGTCTCTCCCTCTCATCACCATCACGGTGGCCAGGATATGTTGACTACCTCTCCTGGTACACAGGAGGTCTTGGATTCGATCCCGTGATCCTAACGATGACTGCTGCTGCTGTATATTTGGAGTCTGCGTGTCTCTCATCATCATCATCATCACGGTGGCCAGGATATGTTAACCACCTCTCCTGGTACACAGGAGGTCTTGGATTCGATCCCGTGATCCTGACGATGCCTGTTGCTGCTGCTGTATATTTGGAGTCTGCGTGTCTCTCCCTCTCATCACCATCACGGTGGCCAGGATATATTCCCTACCACGCCTGGTACACAGGAGGTCGTGGGTTGGATCCCGTAACCCTGACGATACCTCCTGTATATTTGGAGTCTGCGTGTCTCTCTCTCTCATCATCAGGACGGTGGCCAAGAGATGTTAACTACCTCGCCTGGTACACAGGAGGTCGTGGGTTTTATCCTGACCCTTACAAAGCTTGCTGCTGTATATTTGGATTCTGCGTCTCTCTCTCTGAGTGAGTGGGTTAGTGAGTGAGTGGGTGAGTGAGTGAGTGAGTGGGTGAGTGAGTGAGTGAGTGGGTGAGTGAGTGGTGAGTGGGTGAGTAAGTGAGTGAGTGGGTGAGTGAGTGGGTGAGTAAGTGTTGAGTGGGTGAGTGAGTGAGTTGGTGAGTGAGTGAGCGAGTGAGTGAGCGAGTGAGTGGTGGTGAGTGAGTGGGTGAGTGAGTGGGTGAGTGAGTGAGTGGTGAGTTGCTGATTGAGTGGGTGAGTAAGTGGGTGAGTGAGTGAGTGAGTGGTGAGTTGGTGAGTGAGTGAGTGGGTGAGTGAGTGAGTGAGTGGGTGAGTGAGTGAGTGAGTGGGTGAGTGAGTGAGTGGTGAGATGGTGAGCGAGTGAGTGGGTGAGTGAGTGGGTGAGTGAGTGAGTGGTGAGTTGGTGAGTGAGTGAGCGAGTGAGTGAGCGAGTGAGTGAGTGAGTGGGTGAGTGAGTGAGTGGTGGGTTGGTGAGTGAGTGGGTGAGTGAGTGAATGAGTGGTGAGTGGGTGAGTGAGTGGATGAGTGAGTGGGTGAGTGGGTGAGTTGGTGAGTGAGTGGGTGAGTGAGTGGGTGAGTGGGTGAGTGGGTGAGTGAGTGGGTGAGTGGGTGAGTGGGTGAGTGGTGAGTGGGTGAGTGAGTAAGTGAGTGAGTGGTGAGTGAGTGAGTGAGTGGGTGAGTGAGTGAGTGAGTGGGTGAGTGAGTGGTGAGCGAGTGAGTGGGTAGGTGAGTGAGTGGGTGAGTGAGTGAGTGGGTGAGTGAGTGAGTGAGTGGCACGGGCTAGAGAAGAGATGGAGCTGATGGGTGAGTAAGTGAGTGAGTGGTGAGTGGGTGCGTGAGTAGGTGAGTGAGTGAGTGGGTGAGTGAGTGGGTGAGTGAGTGACCGGTGAGTGAGTGGGTGAGTGAGTGAGTAAGTGAGTGGTGAGTGGTGAGTGAGTGAGTGGGTGTGTGAGTGAGTGGCACGGGCTAGAGAAGAGATGGAGCTGATGGATGAGTGGGTGGGTGGGTGAGTGGCACGGGCTAGAGAAGAGATGGAGCTGATGGGTGAGTGAGTGAGTGAGTGAGTGGGTGAGTGAGTGGGTGAGGGGGTGAGTGGGTGAGTGAGTGAGTGAGTGGCACGTGCTAGAGAAGAGATGGAGCTGATGGATGAGTGGGTGGGTGGGTGAGTGGCAAGTGCTAGAGAAGAGATGGAGCTGATGGGTGAGTGAGTGAGTGAGTGGTGAGTGGGTGAGTGAGTGGGTGAGTGGGTGAGTGAGTGAGTGAGTGGGTGAGTGAGTGAGTGGCACGTGCTAGAGAAGAGATGGAGCTGATGGGTGAGTGAGTGAGTTAGTGAGTGAGTTGGTGCGTGAGTGAGTGGGTGAGTGGGTGAGTGGGTGAGTGAGTGAGTGAGTGGGTGAGTGAGTGAGTGGCACGGGCTAGAGAAGAGATGGAGCTGATGGGTGAGTGGGTGGGTGGGTGGGTGAGTGGCACGTGCTAGAGAAGAGATGGAGCTGATGGGTGAGTGAGTGAGTTAGTGATGAGTGGGTGAGTGGGTGAGTGAGTGAGTGGCACGGGCTAGAGAAGAGATGGAGCTGATGGATGAGTGGGTGAGTGAGTGGCACGGGCTAGAGAAGAAATGGAGCTGATGGATGAGTAAGTGAGTGAGTGAGTGGTGAGTGGGTGCGTGAGTGGGTGAGTGAGTGGGTGAGTGAGTGGGTGAGTGGGTGAGTGAGTGAGTGGGGGAGTGAGTGAGTGGCACGGGCTGGAGACGTGATGGAGCAGATGGGTGAGTGGGTGAGTAGCACGGGCTAGAGGAGAGATGGAGCTGATGGGTGAGTGGGTGAGTAAGTGGCACGGGCTAGAGAAGTGATGGAGCTGATGGGTGAGTGGGTGAGTTAGTGAGTGAGTGAGTGGGTGAGTGGGTGAGTGAGTGAGTGGGGTGGCCTGGAGAGACTCGTGGGCGGCCATCAGTGACAGCGTGGTGAGTGGTGGTGAGTGGTGAGTGGGTGAGTGAATGAGTGAGTGAGTGGTGAGTGAGTGAGTGGCGAGTGGGTGAGTGAGTGAGTGGGTGAGTGAGTGAGTGAGTGGCGAGTGGGTGAGTGAGTGAGTGAGTGGGTGAGTGAGTGGTGAGTGAGTGGGTGAGTGAGTGGGTGAGTGAGTGAGTGGGTGAGTGAGTGGTGAGTGAGTGGGTGAGTGAGTGAGTGGCACAAGCTAGAGCAGAGATGAACTCTACGGAGGAGGAGGAGGCTCGTGCAGAACGCTACTGTACAGTACCAGGCTTGGTGCACCTTGAGGCTACTGGTCAGTTGAACGCAGTGGAGTGACACTCACAACAACGAGCAGAGAGACCGGCGACTAAAACGCGAGAGAGAAAGTCGGGGCATCGACGAGCAAATGTGATGCGTTGGTCAGTCATATCGGTGTGTTGTGGTAGTGGTTGTGGTGTTTGTGTGGTTGTGGTGTCTCTGTGGTTGTGGTGGTGGTGTGGTTGTGGTGTCTGTGTGGTAGTGGTGTCTCTGTGGCAGAGGTGTGGACTCGAGTCATGTGACTTGGACTCGAGTCAGACTCGAGTCATGAATTTGATGACTTCAGACTCGACTTGGACTTGCATAACAATGACTTTGTCCCACCTCTGCTCTGTGGTTGTGGTAGTGGTTGTGGTGTCTGTGTGGTAGTGGTTGTGGTGTTTGTGTGGTTGTGGTGTCTCTGTGGTTGTGGTTGTGGTGTCTGTGTGGTAGTGGTTGTGGTGTCTGTGTGGTAGTGGTTGTGGTAGTGGTTGTGGTAGTGGTTGTCATTGTGGTGTCTGTGTGGGTGTGGTTGTGGTGTCTGTGTGGGTGTGGTTGTGGTGTTTGTGCGGTTGTGGTTGTGGTGTCTGTGTGGTCATCAGTGCGGTGTCTCTGTAGTTGCGGTGTCTCTGTGGTCACGGTGTCTCTGTGGTTGTGATGTCTCTCTAGTTGTGGTGTCTGTGTGGTTGTAGTTGTGGTGTCTCTGTGGTTGTGGTGACGATGTCTTTGTGGTTGTGGTCGCGGTGTCTCTGCGGTGTCTCTGCGGTCTCCTGTGCCGCGTCTTCACTGCAGGAACTTGAGTCCCACCACGCAGGTGACCCAGTAGACGGCGTTGAAGGCGAGGAACGCCGCGGGGAACACGAAACGCGCCTTCACGTCCACCATCACCGCCTGCCGGAGGTAGCGCTCCTCAAGGTCGGACATAGACTCCTGCGGCCACGGGGGTGGGATCAGCAGGAGGAGAAGGAGGAGGGGGAAGGATGGTCACGGTTTTTTTGGAGCGGAAATCGTGAAAATTTCAAATTTCCCAGCTCGTGTTTTATTTTTATTTATCTCTCTCGGTCTTGTCGCTTCTCTCGTTTCTATAGGGCGAAGGGGTTTCTCTCGCTGTTCTCTGGGGTTATTTGTGATGTTGTGTTTATTTTTGGTCACCGGATCAATGAAGGCTGTCTTCGCTCGGCAAAGTTTTCAATAAATCGAATTCATGAACCTGATGTGATTTTTCGAATCCTTCATATTAAGTTCGCTTGCTTGCTTGCTTAGGACCGTGCAAATCTTTCGGTCGTTTTTTAACCCACTTCCCGTGATCCAATCGAGCTGGCATTTTGCACACAGACTCGTTGTGCGTGACAATTAATGTTCGTGAAATTTTTTCCCCAAAATTTTACACTTTTTAGGACAAAAATATTATGTTTCATTACCAATTGCTTAATGGTGCAATGCAATCATCTGACCCATAGGTGGCAGCCATCTCAAGCCAGAGGACGAGAGGACTCTAGCCGCCACGCATATAAAGGATTTATAGTCAAAAACTTTTTTTTTACGGGTTATACTTGCTTGTTTGTTACACTTTTTGATCTACGCTCAGACACCAACAACTACTCCAAAAAATGTGTATTTTCCCCCCCCAAAAAATGCGTTGACGACTTGATTCAACTTCTTATATTTGAAGACGTACTCCCATCAGAAACTGCTGAGTTTAAAGATTCCGTTCCGTTTTTTTTATTAGAAAGAACAAAAATCGAATCAACTTCATAGTCTACGGAGGGGAGCTCTCCTATCCTTTACCTTTTTCGAATTATTCAGATTTGAACATCTTAAAATGCGGATTGTTTTCGTTCAAAACCGCTTGAATCCGAAATATCTTTAAAAGAATCAAAGACAGAACCCAGTGGTTCTCGCATGAATTGTATCTGCTGTTTAACGCTCTGTCAAACGAAAAAAAACGAGAATCTCTACATTTTTAACATTTTTTGAATGATACCACGTGCACAAACATATCTATGAGGCACTTCAAATCGATATGTCGGGTGGGCCTTAAAATCAAAGGGCTGCACCAGTAACGGATCACGGCCTGATTCTACCGGGCCTAGCACTGCGGGGAACAACCCAGCGATCGTACGGCCTACCGGCATTTCAACAATGTCCTGACAGAGCCTGATTCTACCGGGCCTTGCACTGCGGGGAACATCCCAGCGGTAGCACGGCCTACCGGCATTTCAACAATATCCTTACAGAGCCTGATTCTACCGGGCCTTGCACTGCGGGGAACATCCCAGCGGTAGCACGGCCTACCGGCATTTCGACAATGTCCTTACAGAGCCTGATTCTACCGGGCCTTGAGCTGTGGGGAACAACCCAGCGGTAGTACGGCCTACCGGCATTTCAACAACGCCCTTACAGAGACTGATTCTACCGGGCCTTGCACTGCGGGGAACATCCCAGCGATAGCACGGCTTACCGGCATTTCAACAATGTCCTGACAGAGCCTGATTCTACCGGGCCTTGCGCTGCGGGGAACAACCCAGCGATAGTACGGCCTACCGGCATTTCAACAATGTCCTGACAGAGCCTGATTCTACCGGGCCTTGCGCTGCGGGGAACAACCCAGCAATAGCACGGCCTACCGGCATTTCAACAATATCCTTACAGAGCCTGATTCTACCGGGCCTTGCACTGCGGGGAACATCCCAGCGATAGCACGGCCTACCGGCATTTCAACAATGCCCTGAGAGAGCCTGATTCTACCAGGCCTCGCACTGCAGAGAACAACCAGCGGTAGCACGGCCTACCGGCATTTCAACCGCCCCCCCCCCCCCTGCCCGGCCACACTTGTCCGTCATGCCGGAGAGCCGACGTCCAGCGCCATGAAGCGTGAGGATCCAGTACCTTCAGGAGGTTCATTTTCGTAAAAAAAGAAATCCGCTTGGCGGTTTGGACGACCGAATGAACGAACGAACGAATGAGTTCCCCGCACCCCCCACCTCCCCCCGGCCCCGGACGTCACCTTGCTGTTCTTGATGACCTTGGGGTCCCTGAACCTGCGCGCCGTGGCCTGGACCAGCGCGTACTCCACCAGCACGGCGATGAGGAAGATGAGGCACGTGTCCATCCACACGTCCATCGCGGTCGTGTACGTCACCTTCACGCCAAGGAAGAAAGGGTATCCCCCACTCCCAACCCCCCACCACCCCCTTCCTTACCCCCCTCCCTCCTCCCGCCCTGTAGCCTTCGCATCACCGAAACTAAACGATTTTTAGTTCTAGATTTGAAGCTTTCGTGACTGCAAGTATTCATATTCTTAGGTTTTTTCGGTAAAGTCACGTAGGTAAAAAAAAATCTAAATTAATAAAAGTTAATAAAATAAAATCACGACGTTTCGGAGACAACACAAGCTTCCGTCTTCAGGTGGAACCGTCACAGCCACGACAGCTGTATCAAGTAAATGAGAGGTTACAAGAGCTACCACTCCGTATATATAATGGTTGGAGAGGGGAAGGCCCAAGTACGGCACACTTTTTATTCATATGGTAAGGTGAGGCTTAAGAGGCTGAGCCTTTGTTATGGAGAGGTACGGTTTGTGACTAAGCCTGGCTTACATAACAATAGTGTGAAAAAAGAAACAACTAAACATGGTAAAACAAGCCTGGCTGTCTATCAATAACCTGTAATAGTTGTCTGTCAAATAAGATGGTCCAAATAAGTGTAGTTAAATCTTTTTTGCATGGTTAATCACATCTTTCCAATGATTACTCAGTTTGTAACCATCATCACGGTTAAAATTATGTCTGTGTTTGTATTTTATTTTATTTTACTTTTATTAATTTTGATTTTTTACCTACGTGACTTTACCGAAAAAACCTAAGAATACGATTTTTAGTATTCGTAAGAAAAGTTTTCTGGGTCAGATCGCGTAAGTATAAATGTTGCGTGGCAACCCTCCACCACCCGATGCAGCCAATTAGTAAGGGATTTGTCACGTAGACAAAACGCCAAATAGTTACGAGTGTAGTGGCATAGTGCCAGCGGCTGGCGACAAAGGGTAACTGCGGTTTACGGCAGTACTCACGTCAGCAGGCCACAATCGACACGATGATGCTGGATGTAATTACCAGCGAAACGTCGTACAACTCAAAAATTGTAAATGTTGTGGATTCACTCTTCAACACACCGGTGGGCTAAAGTAGTGAACTATTTATTATTTTGTCAACGTGACACATTTTTTGCTGATTGGCCGTGTCGGGTGGTGGAGGGTTACGACACATTTATAAATAACGCGATCCAACCCAAAAACGTTTATTATGAATAATATTGGTCGCGAAAGCCTCACACGTGCTAAACTTCTTGGTTCTTTCGGTAAAGTCACGTAGAAGGGAAGTAATAAAATAATAAAAATAAAACATAATAAAATAATATAATAATAATAAAATAATATAATATTTTATTTTATTATGTTTTATTTTTATTATTTTATTACTTCCCTTCTACGTGACTTTACCGAAAGAACCAAGAAGATGAATCCCTGCAGTCACGAAAGCTTTTAAACGTGTTAAACTGATGAGAAGGGGAAAGGTCACAGAAGGGGCCCATCGGCAAGCCCCGGGAACCCGCCAGAAGGTTCCAGAAAGGGGGCGTGTCCGGGGGCGGAGCTAGGCGACGCTGGGAGTAAAAGAGGGGGCCCTGAGAAGGAGCTCAAGGCTGTTGCCGGAAGTTGGATCCCTATCGTGCCGCTCAAGCCCATCGTCGTCGCCACGACCATCATGAAATTCATAATCACCACCACCATCGTCACCACCATCACCATCGTCACCACAATCACCACCACCATCACGATCACCAGGACCACCTCTACCACCATCATCACCGCCATCATCACCACTTCCCCTCGACATCAGGAGAAGTGGAGAACGATGTCAACCCCAGCTGCAAGCGATGATGAAATTCTCGCTTGCAACTTCAATCAGCTAGCTGAGACCATGCCACTAAGGGTTTGAATGGGGTCCTGGGTGTACACCCACCACCAGAGTGGAGGAATGGCAGGCGCATCTTACAGATGACTAGTCGATGGTCAGTGGGCAGATCAGCTCCACGGTAGGTCCTGGTGCCAAGGACATGGGCCCGCATCCGCTGTTCCATCGCTATGTAGTCCAGCAGATGTTCTTGCTTGAACCCGGCATGCATCCATGATGTTGTGTGCCGGAACAGCGTGTTGGTAATTACAAGCCCATGGGCCTCCTGTCGTTATTATTGAGCTGATCTGGCCCATGCCTTCCAATCACTCCAGACCAGGTTCCAGCATCATGACCAACTCGGGCATTGAAGTCGCCCAACAAGATGACTCTATCCCGAGGGGCCACTTTAGCCAGCACCTGTGACAAGAGATCACAGAAGGGATCTGACTTATCAGCCTTGCCTGCATCCCTCCACGGATGTTCGTCTTCTGTGGAGGAATAAGTAACAACAACCCCCACTCCTCGCCTCTGGTTGATGGGAAGGCGAGCCCAAAGTAGCCTGGGGCTTAGAGCTTCCCACACCTCACCACCACACTCCCACGCCCCCTTCATTCTTTTGTTCAAAAGAAGAGCCACTCCCTGTTGTTTAGAAGTCTCCTGCCCTGAGTAGAGGACTGTCCACTTCTCATGGTGGCAGGAGCCAGTGCCGTTCCACCGGACCTCCTAAATGCCACAGAGATCTAGGAGTGGCAGCCTCTCCTCCGCAGTGAGCATTCAAACATTCCACGTGGCCACCCGCAGTTTTTTTTGTTGTTTCTCGAGGAGCCCCGAGGGTAAGGATTAAGTCTCTTGGCTCTACCAAATGGGGTTCATCAAGGAGACGTCATAGATGCCTGTCCCTCCGAGGCTTCCAGCACAAGCTTAATTAGATATTTTTGGCGTAGTATTTGTGGTAATCAATTGAAGGTGGTGGGGTTAACCTGCCCCTCGCACCCATCTACAGCCCCCATTTGGCCGCTGTGGTGGCTACAAATGCCCTGAAGGGAAAGGCCAATTGGAATTGACCCTCTCCCCCATGGCACTGCCCACCACAGCGTTGTCGTCCGGCACCAGCGAAGAGGTAGGGGGTTGTTTTTTGCCGGACATCACCACCACCTCCACCACCACCACCACCACCATCACCACCTCCACCACCACCACCACCACCTCCGCCATCACCACCACCACCATCACCACCACCTCCACTTACACCACCACCTCCACCACCACCTCCAATTACACCACCACCTCCACCTCCACCACCACGCCCACCATCTCCACCACCACCTCCACCACCACGCCCACCATCACCACCACCACCACGCCAACCACCACCTCCACCACCACCTCCAATTACACCACCTCCACCACTATCATCACCACCACCTCCACCACCTCTACCACTTCCATCACCTCCACCACCTCCACCACCACCACTACCATCATCACCACCACCTCCACCACCTCCACCACTTCCACCACCTCCACCACCTCCACCACCACCTCCACCACCATCACCACCTTCACCTCCACTTCTACCACCACCACCATCACCACCACCATCACCACCACCTCCACTTACACAACCACCACCATCATCACCACCACCTCCACCACCTCCACTACCTCCACCACTTCCACCACCTCCACCACCTCCACCACCACCTCCACCACCATCACCACCTTCACCTCCACTTCTACCACCACCACCATCACCACCACCATCACCACCACCTCCACTTACACAACCACCACCATCATCACCACCACCTCCACCACCTCCACCACCTCCATCACTTCCACCACCTCCACCACCTCCACCACCACCACCTACACCACCATCACCACTTCCAATTCCACCACCACCACCATCACCACCACCACTTCCACTTCCACCACCTCCACCACCTCCACCACCACCACTTCCACCACCTCCACCACCTCCACCTCCACCACCATCACCACCACCACTTCCACTTCCACCACATCCACCACCACGCACCTTGGGCAGCATGGCTCGCGAGCCCGTGCTCTTGGTGATCATGCGGAGGATGGTGCTGGTGCCGATGCCGACGCGTGCCGGGGCCGGCTCCTTGTTGATCCAGAACGAGAGCCACGAGACCATGACGAGCAGTAGGCTGGGCACGTAGAGCTGCGTCACGTAGTAGCCCATCTGCCGGCTCAGCGTGAACGTCGCTTTCAGGCACGGGAACATGCCTGCGGTAGGGTGAGTGGGTGGGTGAGTGGGCGGTGAGTGGGTGAGAGGGTGGGTGGGTTGAGTTGGTGTATGGGGGGGTTGGTGAGCGGGTGGGTGGGTGGGTGGATGGGGGGGTTGGTGAGCGGGTGGTGAGTGGGTGGGTGGATGGGGGGGTTGGTGAGTGAGCGGGTGGGTGGGTGAGTGGGTGGGTGGGTAAGTGAGTGAGTGAGTGAGTGGGGTTGAGTGGGTGGGTGAGTGGGTGGGTGAGTTGGGTGGGTGAGTGGGTGGGTGAGTGGGGTGGGGTGGATGAGTGGGTGGGTGAGTGGGTGGGTGGATGGGTAAGTTGTTGGTGGGTGGGTGAGTAGGTGGGTGGGTGGTTGAGTGGGTGGGTGAGTGGGGTGGATGGGTGAGTTTAGGTGGGTGGGTAGGGGGGTTGTGGGTGAGCGGGTGGGTGGGTGAGTGGGTGGGGTGGTGTGTGGTGGTTAAGTGAGTGGGTGAGCAGGTTGGTGGGTGAGTTGGTGGTGAGTGGGTGGGGTGGGTGAGCAGGTGGATGGGTGGTGATTGAGTGGGTGGGTGGGTGGGTGGGGCGGTGGGTGGGTGAGTGACGGGTGGGGGGTGAGGGGTGGGTGAGTGGGTGGGTGGGTGAGCGGGTGAGTGAGTGGGTGGGTGGGTGGGGGGGTGGTTGAGTGAGTGGGTGGGTGAGTCGGTGGTTGAGTTGAGTGGGTGGGTTTTAGGGGTGAGTGAGTGAGTAGTGGGTGGGTGGATGAATGATTGAGTGAGTGGGTGTGTGAGGGAGTTGGGTGAGTGAGTGGATAGGTGGGTGGGTGTATGAGTGAGGAAGTTAACATCTCCGAGCCACCGCGATGATGACGATGAGTGATAGAGAGAAACACAGACTCCAAATCTACAGCATCGGCAGGGTCGGGCTCGAACCCACAGACCTCCTGCGCACCAGGCGAGAGGTAGTCAACATCTCTCAGTGTCTGGGATTGAACCCGACCTCCTGTGTACCAGGCGAGGTAGTCAACATCTCTCAGTGTCTGGGATTGAACCCAGACTTCCTGCGCACCAGGCGAGGTAGTCAACGTCTCTCAGTGTCTGGGATTGAACCACGACCTCCTGTGTACCAGGCGAGGGTAGTCAACTCTCTCAGTATCTGGATTGAACCCACCGACCTCCTGCGTACCAGGCGAGGTAGTCAACATCTCTCAGTGTGTGGGATAGAACCCCGACACTCCTGCGTACCAGGCGAGGTAGTCAACATCTCTCAGTGTCTGGGATTGAAACCCACGACCTCCTGCGTATCAGGCGAGGTAGTCAACATCTCTCAGTGTCTGGGATTGAACCCACGACCTCCTGCGTACCAGGCGAGGTAGTCAACGTCTGCTGACCACCCACGTGGTACCTGTACAGGTTCCACGTGACACCATGTGCAGGCCCCACGTGACACCTGTGCAGACCCCACGTGACAACCTGTACAGACCCCACGTGACACCTGTACAGGCCCCACGTGGTACCTGTACAGACCCCACGTGACACCTGTACAGGCCCCATGACACCTGTGCAGACCCCACGTGACACCTGTACAGACCCCACGTGACACCTGTACAGGCTCCACGTGACACCTGTACAGGCTCCACGTGATACCTGTACAGACCCCACGTGACACCTGTACAGGCCCCACGTGACACCTGTGCAGGCACCACGTGACACCTGTACAGGCCCCACATGACACCTGTGCAGACCCCACGTGACACCTGTACAGACCCCACGTGACACCTGTACAGGCTCCACGTGACACCTGTACAGGCTCCACGTGGTACCTGTACAGACCCCACGTGACACCTGTACAGGCCCCACGTGACATCTGTGCAGGCACCACGTGGTACCTGTGCGGTAGGTCTCCGCGCAGTCCTCCAGGGTGATTTTGTG